AGAAGAGAGCATATTGACCGTGCACCAGTGAACAATAACACAAACCATCATGACACGTTTATGCTAAAGAGCTCCATGGCTACAATAAAATAATCTGACCTAATGTAAAAAGTTTGTTTCAGTCTCACTCCGTCTTGACTTTAGCCATTTGTTTGCTTTCCTCACTTTCGTTTCTCTTCTTGTGCGATGAGCTGCACTGCCATTCAGAGTGATTTCATTCACTGACGGCTCTGCCACCGCCGAGTCAACATGCTGAACCAGCTGAAAAAAAGCTGACTGGGGTCGACAAGGGCCGACAGTGTGGGACACACTGCAAAGACTAGGGCAACAGATTGGCTCAACATTGACCGATGGCTGACTGTCAGCTTGGTGTGTGAGGGCCTTTATGTGACGTCACATCAGTATTTTTTTCACAAAAGCCGCCTTATAACAAGAAGGGCACTCGGAGAGCACAGATGTCCACTGAGTGCAAACAGCCTGTCTTGCAATGATGAAGGTCCAACATACTGTACAACATTCAGCACTGTGCACTACTGCTCATAAGTGACGATATGAACACCACCGTACGATCACACTGTCAGCTCGGTCAACATTGTTGCTGCTGTTGGCACTGTTTATATCACTGTCTGTATATAAGGATGGACAATGTATCTCCACTATGCTTGGGCTCTACCTCATTTTTCTTACTTTCATATCTTCCTGAAATGGCACCAAGGTGTATGACGGTATTGGTGTGTGGAACAAAACCGCCCTGATGACATCACACCCCCTTTTTAGAGCATCAAAAAACTAGTTAAAAATTAACATATCAAAAAAATGAACATTTGAACATCAGCATGATAAGAATGACCTTAAATGTCAGAAACCATCTTTGGGACAAATTTATTTGACATGTACTTGGATTTTTTTGGTTTGGCCCATGTCCTATCCGATAACATGAAGCGGGCAATCGAGAAGTTTTAGCTTCACTTTTGGGGAGCCATCATGCCATCCATTTTTACATACAGTTGTTGGTCCCGACCCACAGTGGCAACAGGGCCTTGTTGTGAAAGTATAACACCCACCCTCCCTCCTGATTACCCCCCAGGTCGCCCCAGCAACTGTGAACTAACCCCCATTAACACAGTTAGCTCTGTTAGCACTGTTGCAATTGTTAGCACTGCACTGTTAGCCTCAACTACTTCGGCTCAGCCACCTCCATGATTGCTTGTGATGTCTGAGGTGAGATGGTCAGCCCTGTGAGGCAAATTGTGATTTGTGATATTGGGCTTTATAAATAAAATTGATTGATTGATTGATTGATTGATTGATTGACTGATTGATCTGTGTGCAGTCCCGGCCCAGACTGAGAATGTCATATATAGTTAAAAACAATTTGTGTAACCATCCTGTGATTCAGATCCACTCCAAAAGTTAATGGGTCCTTGCTCTACACATGCTACATCTTTCCACCAAGTTTTTTAAAAAATAGAGCCAGTCATTCCAGCATATATCCACATAGATGTCTATTTTAAAAAATATATATATTTTCTATAATATTTTTATTACTACCAAGCGTAGAAGTTGGTCTTTATGGGCTTTAAGTAGCTCTCTTTTCAGCCTTAATAAAAAGTACTGAAGCATCCCCACTGAAGCTGAGAGCTGTAAGGCAGTTAACTACGTGGAGTCTGACACAGTCGTACTAAAAGCAACAGAAAATCAGTGCCTTGACACAAACAATTTTATAAGCAGATGTGCTCAATAATACTTAAGTAAACAGCATGTAAAAGCACAAGCAGTCATGTTGTAGAAACAAAAATGTACTGCAGAGATATCTGGAAGAACAAAGAATGTGAAAGTGAGTCATTTTATAGTAAGCTGGAGGGGAACCAGACTGTTATTTCTAATATCTAGTGCCACACAAACAGCTCAGAGCAATATAGGTATCATGTAAAAAGGTGTGTTTTGCTCCTGTGGTGGTGAAGACATCCCTCTGAGTTGTAAAGTGCTCCTCAGGGTCCTTGCAGGTGGTGTTACTGACCCCCAATTCTTTTGATTCTGGTAAATTCACAGTGCTATAGGAATCTTCTTCTCTCCTGACAACATCCTTATGGTATGATTGTGATCTAAACATACTTCCTCATACATCCACCCAGGTATCCTCTTACCAAGCTACATCAAACACAAGCCCTGTCGACGCCATTACCCCACTGTTCGCTGCATCGGCCTCCACAAGGCCTGGTTCTTATCTTGTTTTCCACGGGGGAAGTACGAGGTCTGAATTGTTTAGCTCAGCCTCTGCAGATAGCTATCATCTCTGGCGCTATTTGCTCGCAGGGCTGCACGGGAGCCAAGATGGATGCATTAGCGGCCTCTTTTCATTGATGAGCAAAATAAAACTTTACGCTTGACAGTCTGTCCCAAAATGGATTCCTTTGCTACCTGCAGGTATATCTGAGGTACGCTCATAATCCATCTGATGCCGTTCAAGCATAGGACAGCATGGCAGGTTTGCCTCTGGTGGTGAATTCCCTCTGTGTGTGTGTGTGTGTGTGTGTGTGTGTGTGCGTGTGTGCGTGTGTGAGTGTGTGTGATATTTATGTCCGTATCCAACAATGTCTTTGCCTGTGTGGGTAACATATAGAAGAAAACAAGATGCTCAGATGAGATAGGCTACATCTGTCCTGCTTTGCTTCAAACAGGCTGTTTCCATTCACTGTTCGTACTTACACCTACACAAAGTAATGCACTTTAATTTGTGTATAACCCACATGAACATGAGGCTGTGATCATGTGACTTATGTGCTACAGGCTGTTCTCCCTCATATGATAGGAGCAAAGGAGGAAGTCAGTCAGGTGCCGTAGTATAAAGAGTGACAAAGTCCACAAAGGTAGGAGGTGGATGGATCCAGCATACACAGGACCTTACCAAGGACACAACGTTGTGTCACGTGTGTGAAACTAAAAGTCAGTAGGCCTTCGCCCTGCCCACCAGCACTGCTTGTGCGAGGTTTCGCTTCCCACTTTCTTTAGTGCTGCTCGTGCCAGGTTGATCATTGGAAGAGCGGTGCAAATCAAGATAGGCAGCGTTAGACCCAGACTCAGATGAAGTGTCTTGTATTGCAGCAACTAGCAGATGTATCAGAATTCTAAGTGTAGTTAGCATCTTTTATTCTTTTATGTTTTTTGTTGGCTTGTAGGCAAACTAGTGGCTAAACGTGTGAACTCTACCATGTTTGCTGTCAAAACTTTCACAGTGCTAATGCTAACCTTGTTTAGTTTGCTCTGCACTGTAGGTTTCAGGTTTCTTTACCAGTGTTGTGTCAAAGTCTGTTCCCCCGTCGATATTTGTGATTGGCTTTCATATTTGTGACCTATCTAATCCAGGGGGTACAGATGACCACTGCCCAAGGCCAAGGAGAAGCCCATGAAAAGGTCTATCGTCGACCCTTAAATGGGATCAAGTACAATTTAATAACTGACTGAAATCACTGACAATACAAGTTATATGTACTTACGTGTATTTTAATCATAAAAACACATTTCAACGTGCCATCTGATACCCCCACTCTCGGCAGGTATTGTAAAATGGTGCAGTCCATCTGACATAGGTCAGGTGCGCGATCAATCTAAGTGCCGCTAATGTAAACATGTGCGGTGGACTGCAGCCTGACTAGTTAAGCCAGAAAGTTTCATCAAAAATTAAGGGTTCCTCAGGAAAAAATCAGAGAGAACAAGACAATGAAAGGAGCTCTGAGGCAATGACCGAATATCTGGCAAAAAATTGTGATGATGCACCAGTTAGTCAAACTAATTTTTAGCAAATAAAACCTGCTGTATCAGGCTCAGTTTTACAGATACAGTGAAGACACGGGTATCATATCAAACTAGAGGGCCTATGGCATCCATTTGTACCAGCTATGTAATGCTATCTTCTTGGAAAAGTGGGCCAAATAATGCTCCAGATTTACACTAAATTTTGGCGAGGGAAAAGGAATATTGCCATTTTTCAAAATGGTGTATTTAAATATGTCTGTATACTGGGATCACTGCACAGTCTTGGAATTGCATAGAGTTGACAGACATTTACTCTTTACACAGTTTCAGTTCTGCACACAATTTGACCAATATTTAATTAAAGTAGCTTAAGACTGAATGAATAATTGAAGAAAAAAAAAAATTTTTTCTGAGTTGATCTTATGATTTAATACCTCAATCAATGTTTGATTTTACTTTTCTCTAATCATTTATTGGACGGCATTTTTTTTTTTGGCCTAGGACACACTACCTCTGCTTTTCAAAATGAGTCTTAACAGAAGACACAAATACAAGTAGATACAAAACAATGTGGAAATTTGATTAACTGGATTATATTTGCAGGAGGTACAAAAAAGTACCCCGCTCCTCACCCCCCATTGGGTGTGAATGAGGGGCCCACTTTTGAAAATGTTGTGCCCCTGCCCGTATTTCCTAACAGCTAGCTTTGAATACAATCTCCTATTTTACTGTCTCAAACAAATGACATCTAAATTCATATACAGTAAGTGCTGATAACAACATAGTTTGGCATTAGCAGTAGGAGTGACACGACGTATTGATTATACAGTGTGAATTTCCTGGCAGCGGAAACTAAATGCGTGGGAAACGTTCTGATTCAGGCTAAATTGATATCGGAAACAGAAACCCACCGTGCTGATTTACACACTCGACAGAATGTATGGTGATTATAGTGTGAGATGGTCAAATAATCAGGCTATTTTCTAGCACATTCACACCCTCACACTCGCTCCCGTCTGCGCGTGTGCTTGAGTTTATGTGCTCAAACATTTCATTATGTTAAGATGGAGATGTTAATAAAAACTGCCCACAGGCAATCATCGATTGATCACAGTTTTCTTACTTATTTTGTTTAGTGTGTCATAGACTGCACACACACGCACACACACAGGAGTATGCACAGATATACATAGAGGCTCGTGGGTGCATGAAAAACCACCACTAGAGACATGCAGAAACATACAACACACAGACCCACATCTACACACACACTGAAAATGATAAATTGCAGTGGATGCTGGTTTTCAAACAGATAGGCATGAAGAATTACACTGATCATCGTTTAGCAATGCACATTTTTTTAGGACATGGTTCTCATTTGTTTTGGCTTGTAAGATCCAGACAGCAGTGAGGGAACAAACCAGAGTCAGTGTTTTTGGCAAGAAGAAGAGCCGCTTGTATCTTTATAGCTGCTTATTTTCTGCTTGGCATTTGAAAGGATTGTTTGTGTCTTGTTGAATCACCAAGGCCTCATCATGGTGCTGCTGGTGGTGGAGGCTTGTTTCACATGCCGCTTCCACAACTGCACAGTCGCTGCGTGTTTGTGTTCATGCATCTGCAAAGACAAAGTGTGTTTAAGGTGGAGGTGTCTAAGTGTGTTTTAGGTGTGGGTGAAACACCGCAGTGGTTTGACATATATTCTCCTGTGTGATCACACACACACACAGGATGTGAGGTGCAGCGTGTGTAAGTCGAAGATGTTTACATGCATTTAACAAGTTGTCTTAAGAACATGTCTTACAGGAGAGGAGGTGAGAAAAAAGTTCTGCTAAAATTATGTGACAGTACACACATTTGTAATGCACTGAAATCATCACAGACTTGCATGGAGTATATTTTCTGTGAACAAAGAGAAACCTTTCAAACATACTGTGATACCCTGCAAAGGTGCGGACACTTTCAGCTGCCTCTCTGTCAGCTCTGTTAAACTTATTGCTGCTATATTTTGGCTCTTATGTCTGTTTTGCAAGTGATAGTGGTGCTTTTGTGGTTGGCTTGGATGATGGTGGCGTGTGGCTGCAGGTCACTCATCGGGATGAGAAAATCAACTGTAAACACTGTGTCTTTCAACATTTAGCTAGCTAGTTGCTAGCTAGCCAGGTCGAGGTTTTCAAATGAAAACATCAGTAAACATCACGGAAGATGGAGAAGAAATGGACTCCAGCTGAACTAGCACTCTGCCAGCTATTGCACAGGCGTTGCAAAATAAACTGGATGACCTCTGTGCTGCATCAGTTTCAAATGGGATATAATCCTTTGATTTATCGAAACTTGGCAAAAGCCTGGACAGCGCCATTCAACCAGGTGGCTATTTTTCTTTATGTCGATCTGACAGAGCAGAGGACTCAGATGAGAGAGGGAGAGGAGACCTGTGTATTGTGGTGAATAAGGACTGGTATGATGGTGGGTATGTGAGGTGCTGTCCCGTTCCTGCTGTGGATCACTGCTAATGGAGGCTACAGTGTGGCGCTGCCGTGTCCGGGAGGAGCGATCAAGCTGCCATCTTGTTGGGATTGGGATGTGTGAATAGGTAAATCATTCCACAACCAGAAACCATTGATTACCAGAACCATCTGGAAACATGGACAATACTGGAGTGTCTCCTTGTATAATTCCATGTGACAAATGATTGATTGATTGATTGATTGTGTTTTTATTCTGATTCATCAGTTTTTTGTGTAGATTAACATTTCCTTAAGATCAGTGCTTAATTTGGGCCAGAACGTACTGGAACGTATACCGGGATGTTTTCAGAAAAGGCCCTGGTGCGTTCCAGAACTAATTTGCATGAGTCTAGAACTTTTCGCATCTAAAAAATATAATAAATGATTGATTTAAAGTTGATGTTTTTTTCCAAATGGCTCCTAATCGCTAATTTGGCACTTTCAGATATTAGACAGCAATAAAATCCAATCACAAAATGTCTCGTGAACTCAACAGTCCCATTCAAGGTTCTGATAGGTTCACAGTCACATCATCTGTCAGAAGCCACTCATTAAAAAGAAGATATATAGCTATAGCGTTAACGTCAGTTATGTGGGCACTGGGTAGTTATCAAAAATGGCGAGGAAGAAACAACAGTTGCTCACTGGATTTTTTAAAAGAAAGGAAGATGAAGACGAGGGGGATGATGGTCAGCTGATGACCAAACACCCTAAAAATGTTCAAGGTAACAATAAGCCTAACGTTAGCTAGCCTACAAGTTCGAGCTCCGTTAGCCAGCCACCACCGCTAGCTGCAGCAGAGGGAATAACGAAAGACCAAGCTAACATTTGTAAAGTGCGTTGTGTTGCTTCTGTGTATGAAATGCGCTATAAAAATTCATTTGTGCTGCTACACGTTCTGGTGTTCAGACAGATTTTGCAAGTATTTTGTGTGAGTGTGTTGTCAGTGTGAATGGCACATCTCACTAAATATTGTGAATGATGACTATGTGTTGTTATCCTGTTAGCCAGGTGGTAAAGTAAGTGGCACACATGATGTAGGCTATAGCTACTCCTACATAAACCTTTTTTCCATGATTCGTCTTTCATTCCATTTACATGTAGTATTGGCTAATGTCACTAAGGCTGATGTGTCATGGCTGATGTCACAACCATTCCATTTCCATTGCTTGATTGTTTCACTCCAGATACATACAGTATTGGCTAATGTCACAAGGGCTGATATGTCATGGCCGATGTCACAACCATTCCATTCCATTGCTTGACTGGATTCCTTGCTGTATTCTGTGCTACGGATGGACAAGTCGCGCAGTGAGGCGGCTCAGGTGCCGCTTAAAAAAGTGTGCTCTCTCAGAGGCCCAAAGTGTTCCCCTACTTCTAATTTTACAAATTAAGCACTGCTTAAGATACTATGTTTTAGAGAGACTTTTCTTTATCCAGGAGCCTTTCTAGAGAACTATATATTGTTGAGATGCTTAAAGCTTTAGTTGGTAACTTTAGTATTCTTTTAAAAAAGCCCCTTTTTGTCATATCCATTTAAATCGTCACTATATCCTGACAGTAGTACCTAAGTCAGATAAACTGTGAAAAAAAAGATTCTTCTGAAAAAAAGAAGTTCTCCTGCCTCCTCCTCGTGCTTCTAATGGCATTTACAAGAATCCAGTCTGAACAAAAACAACCAATCAACAATCAAAGCAGCTGTCAATCATCTCAATGACTGCTCGTGAACTGTGGTCAAACTGTCAAAGTAGGCAGCACTGATCAAATATGAATCATGATTCCCTTCTCACTTCATGTTGTCATTATAATATTTTATATGTGTAGCTGTAAAATGAGAAAGTTGGTCTGACTGTTGGCCGGTGTTTAGCTTTCAACTTCATTGTTTTCAACATGGTGGCCTGATCTGAAAACTTTCCCATTCTCCTTCCTTTTTGCTATCTGCATGTTATCCTTTTTAAAATCCCCTTAGTTACAGAATACAACAAGAACATCCTCCAAGCTAACAACCTACACGCTGATAACGGTAACTTTTGAAGAAGATAGAAGAAGACGAAAAAGACAATAAGGCATGCCTACTTTGCTATTTCAGTGAATTGTTGTTAGGATCTACACTGAATAAAACAACTTGTGAACAATCCTCAGAAAAGCCAAGACTCCATCTTGCAGGACTCTCATGCCCGATGCTGCTCTGTTTTCTGACACGACCCTCAACACCTCCCAGGACGATTGTGATTGGTTTAGAGAAACACAAAAAAGCCAGAGCATGTTTTCCCCTGTACATTAGAATGACATTAGGAGCACTGACAGGAGGCAGAACAACATAATTTTTCACAGATTATCTGTCCCATGTATTATTGTCAGGATGTTGTGACAGCAAATATCACAAAAAATTATTTTTACAAAAGTTAACAACTATATCTTTAATGAGTAGTTACTCAAGTTCACCAACACTTAATCTATCCTGGATAAGCCATGACTCTTATTTAAATGGTCCTCCCCTTAAAGCCACATCATTGCTGCACAATTTCACCACATTTAGTCTGGCCACCTTAGCCCCCCAATCGTATAGATTTACAGAGGACAGCCCATAAAATCCTATATCACTTTTCAAACTGTTATCATACACCAGTTGAAATAGGAGTCATTTAATGGGATGTATTAAACGGCCAATTGAAGTGTAATGTGCTAAGGTTTTATTTCCATTGTAAGTGATGGTGGGACGTGAGAGCATAAACCCACAGACCATTAAATGAGCTCAATGAATTAATTTTATGCACGCACATGTGTGTGTGCACATGTGTGAGCGTCTCTAAATGATTAAATCTTTGGGGGACATACATTTGTCTGTGCATATTTAACCAGCGTACCAGGGGGTAGAAGTCCTCGTGTGTGTTTTTGTTCATGTATGTGCTCCTTTGCATGTGCTACAGAGTCTGTATGTGTTTGAAAGAAGCACCATCCCAGGGCCAGTCACTGCCTCTCCCTCATCACCCTGCTAATGACTGTGATTAGTGACTCATTTCATCATTACAGGTTTCATACCACACACTGCTTACCTCTGTATACAACCATTCCTGGAGAGAATGTCTCACACACACTCACACACACATACAAACTAAGACAAAGAGAAACACACGGAGGTCTGGCTGTTGATCACACACTCCTCCACCTTCACCCCTGCAGTCTGCCATCCATCACCGTGCCACTGGGGAAAGAGGTGGAGAAAGGAGAAAAAACGGGAGGAAAAGATGGAAAGGAGAGCGAGAGAGAGAGACAAAGGAAGGAGTGACTGTGTGTCTTTTTACCTTGCGCTGGGCCTCTCGTAATCCCCGCCAAACACACACACACACACACACACACACACACACGCACGCACGCAAACGGAACAAGATATGTGAAACCAGAAAGCCTAAAAGACAACCACTTCCTTGAGAGACTGCTTGTGTGTATGTGTGTATGCATGTATATGTGGCAAGGTGCACTAGAAGCTATATGAAGCTGTAGTAGGTCAGGTAGCTGTGTGAAGGTGCAGCAGGCGGGCAGTCACACAGACACATGCATATAAAAGCACTGCAAATTACTGACAGAACAGCTGCAAGTTTCAAAACCATTGATTAGAAATAGCCTAGTTTCATTTTATGGTATTGTTATCTGGAAGGTTTAAATTAAAACAAACAAAGAAATAAAGTCAAACATTACATGCTGTTGTAAGTATTACCTTTTTGTATGCGTTTTCTGTGTCATAACATCAACAACTTTTAAGTATTTTTTCTCTTATTTTAGCTCTGTTTTGGTCCCTACCAACTCCTAGGGGAAGTATCTGGCTCTTTAGCTGCCAGTTAGCTGCTAATTGTGTCCATCTGCTGTTTGGTGCTGAGCATAGACTGTAAAAATAATGGAAGTAGACACTGTGGTGTCCCCACTGGTTTGTGGACTCCCATTTTGAAGCCTAGAGTTGGTATTTTGGCCGTCACTGTCTTGTTATTTTGGAGCCAGAGGTGACCATATTTGGTTGAGAGGATGGAGTTGTGGTGGAGCGAGGGGGTGTCGGCCTGTCACTTAGAGCGGTCACCCCCTTAATTATGCATAACTTTAAGCCTTATTAAAATGT